TGGGGCCGCTTCGGAGAAGCAGGTCGAGAGGAAAAGTAAAACATCAGGGTCTTTTTACTCTTCTTCGGGGTCGTGTCGGCCTGTCGTGACCCGCGTCCATATCGTGTCACCTAGCAACGTTCCGGGCGTCGTATTTTAACAAGTTTTTTTCGCCCGGCTACGCGTCACTTCCGGAACTTCATTTACGCTGAACGTCGAATAAACCGCCAGATCTCGTCGAGTAGTTTCGAATATCTTTTTTTCTCTTCTCTGCTCTCTTACCCTGCCGTGCCACCCCGCGCCGCGCCGCGCCGCTCGACATGGCCGAGGAACCCGTGAATCAACCGAGAGATTCCGTCCACGTTTTACAGCTCCGCTTTGACACCTTCTTCCTCGCCCGCTCCGTCTCCTGTTCCTTCCTCGGCTTCCTCTTCTTCCACCCCTTTTTTCTTCTCTCTGCCCCTTCTTTTGCCTCGACCTGAAATTCCGAGGTCCTGCTCGCCGTTGCCTTTTCATTTAGAATTTAATGTTTCAGCTGTTCTCTCCGGTCCCTGCTCTCTCTCTCTCTCTCTCTCTCTCTCTCTCCCTCGTTCTTTCTCGTTCTCTCTTTCTCGCTCATCCTCTGTATTTTTTCCCTCGCTCCCCGTCAGGCCGCTCGCCATCGCTACGAGCTCTTCGAGGAAACGAGGTCGTGGTATAAAAGATATTGTAGAAGAACAAAGGGAGAGGGGAAGACGTGAAGTAGAATGCTGGGCCGGAAAGGGTCGTTGAGAAAGTTTTTATCGGACACGGGCTGAAGACCTCGCTCGTGATCGATTTTCCCGATCGACCAAGTGCCTCCTGACCACTTCCGCGGNTTTTCTGATCTACAATGTCTCTGTTTTATATGATTTATTGCGATTTATGCATATAGAAGCTTATTGGCGAGTACAATAATGCAAGTTTAACAGTCTCTTCGAGTGCAAATGGTTAATCCTTCCGCAGATCGTACTCACCTTCTCGCTAATCAAATTGACCTATTTAATAGGAATCTATATATTTACGTTTAAAGTAACACAGATTTCATTATTATTAGAAAACTATTACAAATAAGAGAATATAATTTGGAAAAATTTCGATTGCAAAAAGGTGAATGGCACATTATTAAATATTGAAGCCGTGAAGAATTCGGATATCGGAGGTTCCCATGATCGAGATTCCATCATAACCGAGGTTATATTCGGAAAATATCTCTCGTCCCCTCTGCGCGTTGCATTGTTCGTATCAGCAATTACGGCCACGCCTAGTTGCCATAAGCATAACAGACTGTGTCGCGGTAGATACGTTCTATAATAAATTGATAATCGTGTAGCGCGACGCGCGTTCAGGATTCAATGGGGCCGCTTCGGAGAAGCAGGTCGAGAGGAAAAGTAAAACATCAGGGTCTTTTTACTCTTCTTCGGGGTCGTGTCGGCCTGTCGTGACCCGCGTCCATATCGTGTCACCTAGCAACGTTCCGGGCGTCGTATTTTAACAAGTTTTTTTCGCCCGGCTACGCGTCACTTCCGGAACTTCATTTACGCTGAACGTCGAATAAACCGCCAGATCTCGTCGAGTAGTTTCGAATATCTTTTTTTCTCTTCTCTGCTCTCTTACCCTGCCGTGCCACCCCGCGCCGCGCCGCGCCGCTCGACATGGCCGAGGAACCCGTGAATCAACCGAGAGATTCCGTCCACGTTTTACAGCTCCGCTTTGACACCTTCTTCCTCGCCCGCTCCGTCTCCTGTTCCTTCCTCGGCTTCCTCTTCTTCCACCCCTTTTTTCTTCTCTCTGCCCCTTCTTTTGCCTCGACCTGAAATTCCGAGGTCCTGCTCGCCGTTGCCTTTTCATTTAGAATTTAATGTTTCAGCTGTTCTCTCCGGTCCCTGCTCTCTCTCTCTCTCTCTCTCTCTCTCTCTCCCTCGTTCTTTCTCGTTCTCTCTTTCTCGCTCATCCTCTGTATTTTTTCCCTCGCTCCCCGTCAGGCCGCTCGCCATCGCTACGAGCTCTTCGAGGAAACGAGGTCGTGGTATAAAAGATATTGTAGAAGAACAAAGGGAGAGGGGAAGACGTGAAGTAGAATGCTGGGCCGGAAAGGGTCGTTGAGAAAGTTTTTATCGGACACGGGCTGAAGACCTCGCTCGTGATCGATTTTCCCGATCGACCAAGTGCCTCCTGACCACTTCCGCGGTCGTTGTTGCGTTGGTTTCATAGCCGAGGGCTTGTCGATTCAATTCCGTCGTTAAAATGATGACTTGTCGCCGCGCGGCCAAGAGTGCCACTGGAAGAGTACTGAAAACATTTATTGCCGGCGCTCTTCGAATTCCCGTCGCACCCGCGACCTGCATAAACGATGCCCCCCGATCATCGAATAGAATCCCGCAGGTTTTCATTGCCCCGCCAAACAATGGACACTCGTTGTCGATCAAACATCGGACGACAATTGTCCCTAATATTAATATTAATTGCGCCGCGAGCGACGACTAGCCTGCTGACCTTTAGGCCGTATAAAATACCCGCGTTCATTCCGAATAACATCGAATGGAAATTTCTTTTCTTAATCATTTTTATGCTCGTTATTTAAGTATATATGTAGCAATTAAATTGTGAATTAGTCAAATCGACTCCCTCGGCAATCTACCGCCAAAGTGTCTTATACATTAGCAAAGTTATTTATACATCAGCCATGTTATTATTTCCATCGTTAGCTTAACTGCCGGTTATTTGCGAATTAAATATAAATTGCAGCTACCAATTACACGGCTGACCAGATCCAGCGAGAACTTCTCGCGGAATTAGGATAGCGAGCACCCTCTGTAGTCACGTGACTGCGAACTCCATGAAGTCATTACTGTATTCTATTAAGAGAATTTGCATTCTTTTCGAGGAGCGAGCTCAGCTGCCGAAAAAAGACTATACCCGCGCCCCGAACTTTCACAATCTCCGAGTTCGCTAACATCGATCGGAAGAATCTCCATAATTGGACGTTCGTCATGCTCTGCCTGGAATGGCCACTTGTGGACAAACTATCGTCGAACTGCTACCTTCTGGAAGTTACTGAAACACCGATCGCTAATTAGTTCCTCCTTGGAGGTGTGCTGCGAGACCGTATAATTATATCGATTGCCGCCGATTCAGCCAGCGACCGAGAACATATATTCGGACGCGATTAGATGCTAAATCGATATGATAATAATTGGCCGGCGCTCGTATAATAGAATCGCCGGTGCGCCTCGTCGGGGCGCACGTGGAAATTTCGGCGACCGACCATAATGCTGAATATTGCACACTTATTTACTCGGCGCGCGGCCCGCGCCGCGATAAACGCGCGGCAGTGACCATAAGGAGAAATACCTGATGCGGAACGCTTCTCGGGGAGTAGAAGATTATCGTCGATTTTATTGCCACCGAAAAGCGTTATCGTCGAACGCTTATACCATAGTTCGATGGATCGATGTTTTCAGATAACGTAACGAACTCTCGTACGTTTATTTAACGCGAGTAGAAGATAATACGAGTATGCAGGTACCTATAATGGAACACGGTTTTATAGTGTACATTATGTGTTTCGTATTCAACGTTCCTGTTTTGGAACACGCGTTCGTTGTTCCACACCAGGGACACTGCATATGAAACAAGGACGCCAACTGTTCCATAAATCGGGACAAAGAAATCGAACGTTCTTTTTTTTCAGTAGATTGTTACGCGATCTATTTTTTAACGTACCGTTTCGAAAAGGAATCAGAATTTCGCGGTGTTTCGTAACAGGTACTTTCACCTCGGCTCGCAATTTAACCGGAAGCAGGGATCCCCGACGCGTGAATTTCGCGGCAGAAAATCTCTGCGGTATCGTTTCTCGAGAGAGGAAAAGAGAGAGAGAGATTTCCGGGCCGAGATCAGTGTCTGTTTGAGCAGAGTCGCGCAAAGAATTATCGTCGACAAATATTTTTAATCAACAACGCAACGCGGTAAATCCGCGCCGGATGTTTTATCGGTGGACTTTTGTCGTTAGCGTGACCGATCGGTGTGCCAACAGCATCCATGCCACTTCGCACTCTTATCCGTCGCCGTAAACCAAGCTTAGCTTGTCGCTTCCTCCAATATTCGATATAATGCATCGAATGAATTGTAGCCCGATCCAACATCAATATTGATACAGTACACGCCCGGTGAAAGCTATAACTTTGCCGGCGTGATCGCACCTAATTAAATCTCCGGTATCCTGTATTCGTCGGCGAGACCCGTCGACGGAACAGCTTTCAATCAAAAGTAGAACGTCGGCGAACGTCGATGCTTTTTCACGGTAAAAGCTTGCTCCTATAAGCAAGAGAGTATGCGAAATTAATTGGAATCGTCGGATAAAGTGTACGACGAATTGTCTTTGAAATTTCCTTGATTTTACAGCGCCGAATTCTGACACTTTTGTCGCCGAGAGTAAGATTCGTGCAAACTTCGAAGTAGTTCTCTTCTTCTATATCTTTTTATCAGGCATCGTTCACGTTGAAACGTACTTCTTATCTCCAACTCTATTGCGAAGTCATGAAAAACTGTGATTTTCGCAATCTTTGATCGTTCGCGGCTCGGTTATCGAGAGCCGTAAAATGCACCGCTGAAATTTTCGTTATACGTTGAGATGAAAAATTTGGAGAACGTCTTTGCTCGCCGTTCCTCTCAACTGAAACGTTTACAAAAATTTGTCTATGCTTTGTCCAGTAAATCGACCCTTTTATCGTCTCGTGAAAGAAAAACAGAGCTCGCGCGTACCATATTTATCGAAGGAAAGCGACGATTATACGATTTTATTATCAGGACTCGCACGCAACGTTTCTCTATATTTATCTAAAGGAAATGATTATAGCCGGTTCATTATAAGGAAACGCGGAGAGTTCCCGAGCAGTTTATAACACAAGTTCAAAGTTTTAGCTCCGAGGCATTCCTTTCTCGGGAGCCTTCCTCCGTAGCCGTTCTTGTTTAAATAACAAATTTCTTTTGTTCCGTTACAGTGACGGGTACGATCGAGCCAACGTAAAGATCCTGTGCACCTTCAAAGGACTGTTAATTTGCAACGGGCTCGAAGCGGACAGGAAAGGTGAAAGGAAACCCGCGGATTATTTCTCATGTCTGACACGTCTGGCGGCGTTGGATGGACACTTAGAAAGTTTTACGAGTCCAGCGGAACGCCGGTAAGTGAAGCGTTTATTTCTGTTTTAATCGGTCCGTTTGTCTCGGCGATAAACCACGAGAGCCGCGTCTTTTCCCACAAGCTCCCAGCGTTCACGAACAAGTGTCCATTTATTCCGGAGACCGAAATGAGTCGCGCAGTAAATTTCAACCGTTCCCAAGCCTTCCACGGGGATTCCTACCCCGTCCCGCGACCGCTCGAACTGACCCTCTCCCGCGGAAATGGCTGACAACCATGGAAAATTACATTCCCCGCCGTGGACCCTTAAGACAGGGCCGGGATGAATTTCTTTGCTCGCTGTTCCATCGAACTCGGAAACGTCGTCGAGGTTACAACGTTAACCTTCATTTTCAAATGAGATTTTTCCTGTTAACGTTAATGTTGCTGGACACTGACAAGAATTAACGCTTTGCTCGGCGACGCTAAATTATTATATTAAATTACATGTGCACATTGCTGTTGTACAATATATATTATTGTATAATTGCATGTTAGGAGGATTCCTGAGATCATTTTAAGTAACTATTTCCTTAGCGAAAATGCAATCCGCGGCTTCGTTTGCGAGTTATCGACGAAAAACACTGACCAATGAGGGGCGAGCTCGACTAGCATTGGCTCCGCCGCGACGCGCCGCCTCGCGTCAGCCGAGCTCGCCTCTCATTGGCCACTGTTTTTCGTTAATAACTCGTGAACGAAGCCGCGGATGGCATTTTCGCTAAGGAGAAAGTTACTTCGAATGATCTCAGGAACCCCTCGTTTCTCGGAAGTGCCATAATTTTGGGACACCTCGTGTGTACACCCTGCGCGACAGATAACCGTGCGAAGCGTCGCTAAAAGTGCATGGGATAAGTAAGCAAGAGGCGCAAACTGTAACAACTGCTAACTGCATCGACGTCGAACTTCGCTCGTAGCAAAACGCATAAATAATGGAAACTTCGTGCAGTAGATAATAGAACGGACTAAACGTGTTTCCGCGTTGCCGGTGACAATAGATAACCTCGTAACAGTGTAAGTAGCAGTATTACATAAGTCAGACACTGGCGCGCCCTACTGCCCGCTGCTTCCATTAAGTTTCCTCGTTATGAAAGACCTTAATACCTCTGCAAAGAACGAACATACTCGTTCACGTACGCTTAAAATATCTGAATTACTAATAAGCAATCATGGAAACCTAAAGAGTTCCTTTTTTTTCCCAGAGATTTTCGCGTGTGTAGAAAGCCGTGATCGTTACATTCGATTAATTTTTTACGCTCTCGCTGGAATTAGTAATTTCCCATCGCGTTGAGAGAGAGAGAGATTTGGGATTCTAATCGTAATTCGGTGCACCCTACTGTCACATTACTCAAGGGTTAACGACATAATTCCGGCTGCGAAACGGAGCCATTCATCACGAGGATGATACATCGACTGAGCTCGCGAAATTCGATTAGGTAAAACGAATAATCGCAGCGACCAAGGTCGATTTACAAATGCGCGAGCAAAAATATATCGATCCAAATAATTTGTCGTAAATCGAACAATTTGTTTACCGCGTCGTATTCTACTCGTTACGAGTAATTCATTGACAATGAATCTTCGAGGTTATTTATTATCATCGCGTATCATCTATTTATTGTTGTATCACGAGTTCATCGTAATATCTCTCAAATAATACATATACTATCGAATCTTGCATTCTTGGTAATCGCGCCTTTAGCAATGCTTCTTCGTTAAAAGCAACACCATCGTCGCTTTTCTTAATTTCCGTTGCAATCAGAGAAGTGCTTGTTTCATATACTCCAACGTTCGGAGAATAAGAATGAAAGTGTCGAGTGTAAAGCGTATAACGCGTGAATACGCGTGTAATTATTTTTCTTTCGTATCTGTGCTATACTAAGAGAAATCTAAATAATTTCTAAAATCGAAACGATATTTCCGCCGAAGCTTTTTAATTCGTTTAACCTTTCTACTGTTTTAAATTGCAATTACTCGATTTTTCCACAAACGCCATAAAATCCGCAGCCCGGTTATGGCTGTATCAAACTGTCCCTCGTCGATAATGATTCTGAACAATCGTTGCTTCTGACCAAAAACGATCGAAGCAAAATAACAATAATTGCGCAATAATGTTTCCCTTTTGATCGCAGCAGTTATCGTTCCCGGAAAAGACTCGCGCAGGACTGAAACGCCGTGTATATTAGCCGCGTGTAATCAACGCGCATATCGTTACGTCGACACTGTACTCGGCAATATTAATGAGCTGCTGCAAACATACTTCTCTCGCGTTGTGCTTCGCACTCTCTGCAACGTAATGTATTTTTAATTAAGAAACGAGGAACACGAATATGAAATGCGCGCGGAAAGGTCGACTTATAAAGCGTTTCGTCTTGCATAAACGCTGTTCCGTTTTATGAGAAACGTTTTATTCGCGATAAAGTCGCGCGGAAACGAGTGAGCAAAAAAAGACCCGTAAAAAGTCAGCGTCGAAGATCGCGTCCGTGTTTAATCATTTATCGAAACACACGGCCGTACGCGTGTACCGAAAACGCGAGCGCGGACATCGCGCGAACGCGCGCATGTTACACGTGTACACGCGAAACAGAACATCTCCGATATCCGTGAAAAACAAAAACGTGGAAAAAAATCTCTGAACGTTTGTAGAAAAATCGAAATTTTTCTGCGAGAAAAAAAAGGCGGGACTTCCAGCGAGCAGCAACGTTCGCGAGACTCGCGCGAAGAGATCAGATTCGAAGTTCTTTTCATAGCGAAACTTTCAATCTATTTCATTTCTATTACGGCGTATCTGATAGCGGTAAGAAAGTACCGGATTGCCGATAACGAATGCGAGGAGCCTCGCAATCCCGGAGGGGATGCGATAAGGAAAGTTTCGAGCAAAAGCTTCGCGTTGCTTCATAAAGCCGCGACTGTTACGGCCCCTGTCCCCTCGCCCCGTCCGTTTTTCCGTCAAAGGCATCAAAAGCAACCGGGTAGACAGGAGCGGGCGATAGCGTTCGAGGGGCGAGGGGAGGGCGAAACTGGTCCAGGGATGAATCCTGCCGGTAAACGAAGGATTATTCGTCCTCCTTGATAAACCGCGATGAAACCCTTTGCGTTTATTAAAAGGAAGTTAGATCCCGCAAGGATCGCCGGGAGAATCGAAAACAACCGGACAGTAAATTTGCGTTATCTCCGGCTCGTCTCCTCGAAAAGTCTCTCTCTCCCTCGGTTTCGCCCGTGAGTTTACCGAGGGAACCGCGGATGGGAAATTACGTCTGTAATATTACCAGTTACAGGCGATTGCCCGTTATTCCGGACCGAGGGACCGCGTTCGTTCGATCTCGGGGCGAAATCACAAACGTTCGGGAACGTCCTTCGAGGCCGGACTCTCGTAAATTTTGATCTTCGTTAAAGGAACGCGGCCCGTCGATCTTCGGGGAATTATGCAGGCTCCCTTTGACGGGATAATTGAAACGCAAATAGAAAAGAGGGAGAAGAAGGACGCCGATAACATAGACAATAAAATATCTCACGAAGATGAAAGGGCGCCGTTTCCGTGGATAAAGTTTCCGGGAAACGTTTCCAATATTTTCTCGTTCTCCTTGCAACGGTTATGGTTTCTGATTAAATCGTTAATCAGAATCGGGGGTGGTCAGCCCCCGAAAATTAAGACAACACAAATCTGAAATCGAAATACAAAACGCAATGTTCAATCTTAAAGAGAGAGTTATGTTTTAATATTTTGCGATCACGAAAGCTCGATAATATTGCTTTAATGTTTAATAAAGTATAGTTGCTCTTGTCCGCGTTGATCTAATTTCCATTGACTCATAGTTCGCAATGCCAGTCACACTGCAACAGTTCCGAGAGTCACCGTATACTTGGCGCAGATGGCGTGACGGGGCAATGTAACACAGTTGGCATTACATTGCGCCTGCATTACAATTATAATAAGTACACGAACCCACGAGAATTATTATTGGAAATAATTCAGCAGATATCAATATTTCAATGCGACGCATGTTCCAAATAATACACGTTAAATTGATCCAATGTAGCGATTAATTATACACTTGTTAATATCGTGCCGTGAATGTTACAAATCATCGATTGTTTCATTCTGTACGACAAATAATACCGTTGTAATTTATCGGTACGACCGGCTGATTTATAAGGGTCACGTGTAAAATTATTATGCTAATTATTGTTAAAATTATTTTTCGACGTAACCTCGCTGTCATCTGTATCGGGCGTGTTAGTTCAATTTAACATTGATAGTATTCGGTTAACTTTTGTGCATACAACCGAAATGTCCACGATATTTGAGGCTTTGTTGTTTAAAGCGTTGCAGAAGCGTAACAAAGTATGGAATTACTTAAAATTACCAAAGGACACGTAAAAAGGATTAGAAGCTGAAAAATAAGGGCTAGAAGTATTAATTTCTAGCTTTTTAATCGCGCGCAATAAATGTCATCTCGCTTTATTTTTCATTAAACAATTGTGCGATTCGAGCATCGCGAAAACGAATATTTCGCACGCGCTAAATTTAATATTTCACGAGGAGAACGTGTCGTATAAAATTGCAACCGTGAATTCGGACACTTCGCGCGCAACAATTTAATATTGAATTTGGTGGATTAAACGTTTCGATGGACGTAAATAACCCGTATGGTTTGCAAGTGCGGATACCCTGGAAATTTGTATTCGAGTAGCAGGTTTTCCTCGCTTTCTTTTTTTCGAGCAAGGAATCTGCTGCTAATTTATCTTCCTGTCGCAAGGATTTCCGGGGATATAAAGGGAAACCAAGAACGCGCTAATTTTTCGCCAATCCGAGGTGATCCTTGTAGCACCGAGGTAAATGACGGAAGCAGCGAAAAGGATGGCGACCAGATGGGGGAGGAGGAAGAGGGAAGGCGAATCCTCCTCGAGGTAATCTAATTTGCCGATGCGACGAGGAGACGGTAAATTGACGGGGAACACGGCATCGATCCACGCAGGAAAATTCGGAATACGTTCGTTCGATCT